TCACCATTCATTCGGAGAGTAGCAAGCCTGAAAGTATTAAAGACCCACTATACGTCTACTTTCTTCTTTCATAAAATAAGCTTCTGGTCATTTGATTTTCCATGATCCTTCTATTTACAACCTTTATTGAAATGCTTGATCCACTTGGAAAAAGTTGTCCTCATTAGCATCCTCTGGCACTGGATTAGTATTCTCAACTTTAGTTCGTATATTTATTGGACGAACCATATATGCATGAGAATATTGTGTTTATTTTTTTACTAATCCATTTTTTTGTTTGCTATAGAGCTGGTTGTCTAGGTGTTAATTTGATTGGAGCGAATCGTGTTGTTGTATTTGATGCTTCATGGAACCCATGTCATGATTGTCAAGCAGTTTGTCGTGTTTATCGATATGGTCAAGTAAAACCGTGTTATATTTATCGACTTGTTTCAGATAATACTATGGAGAAGAAAATATACGATCGACAAGTAAGCTTTTAAAAATATCTTTCAGACCTTTTTTCCAGTGTAAAGTAGATCTACCTACATATGTCTCTGACATTATAGAAACACTAGACTATTATACTATACTACGTGATTATTTCAAGATGGCATCTGGTAGACGATCGCTATTCGCGTATTACAAACACTTAGAAACCTATTGTGTATCTAACGCAAGAAATCGAATCTACCACTACGGTTAAATTACCTTCTTGAAAAAGACGGTCACGAGAATCGATAGTCCATGAGAATGGTTAAACTGTAATGATATCTTTATAAGGTAGATTTAATTTTTAAAGTTTAAAGGAGAGTAGTGAAAAGATTGCTTTAAACATAATTGACATTAGCGTTGTGTATAGAGTTCCCAACCAATTTTTACTTAATTATGCCTGTTACCCCTCGTGGCGGAGTATAGGCCGAATACCAGGATTCTCTATCAAATGAATATCTTGGTTCATCTTTCTGAACATTCTCACCACCCTGTATGGAATATTATCACTCAATGGATTATATTTTTCTATTCTAAATTCTAAGGTAACTAAACAAGGCATGTCAGATCGTGTTGTAGATGAATTAAATCCAACACAACAGTTTACTCGTTCACAAGTGGAGTTATTAATGTCATTTGAGGATAAAGATATGGAGACTATCACAGATGATGATTTAGAAACTTGTAAAGATATCATCCAACCAGATCCAATACTTGCAGATGTTTTAAAAAAGCACACTCGATGGATTACAAAAGTAAGTTTTACTGTTTTTTAACATTGTGAATATAAATGAATTTTCATCGACTTAGGTGGTTTGAATATATATTGCGTATACCCCACCACGCCTCGATGAACGATGTTGTATAGTATAGGAGTAGCATGTATCTACAAAGAAGACGAGATTATAAACACAAGGCGAGGCGAATCGAACATCAGTTTCCTAATGGGTTCAGTCGGTCATCTACAACGTAGGACCAGGCATATATATGCATCAATCTAACTTGCCACACCACATTAGCACAACAAGATGAACACTAAATTCATAGAAGCATTTCAATGGTAGTAAAAAAAGATTGCATATAAGGATACGATACAGAAATAAAGAATTAGTTCTTAGAAAAAAGATATAAAAGCAATTTCAGTTTCACGATTTAAGGGAAGACAACGAGTGTATACACCTACGCTACTGTGATCGATTTTGAGTCATGTCACACAGTCTCCAACTATTGGTTACGATAGTCACATGGAACCCAACCAATCAGTCTGCATCTACCAACATGGCTCAGACCAGAAGTTATTGAATTCTAGCCCCTAACTTTCTCCCAACCATCCCCAACTCTAGTCAGTACCGCGCGCCGTGGTAATCGGTGGTTGGGCATACGTGATACACGGGTTACCATTGTATGTATGAAACTTTCGACATTGGTGGCCTGTGTATGTAGTGGGTGTCAACCTAAGAGGAATTGGTGACGTGATGTACGAAAATGATGTTCCAGATAAATGCCTGACGAGACGCGTAATTCACATCCGCGATAGACCTCTAAATTCGGATACCCCCTAACACGAACTTGCCATTCGGTTATTTAATTGATCCAGTCTGATCAGCCCTAATGGGTTGGTATCGGACGAAATCTCAGCACGGATTCGAAAAGCTCGTTTGGCTTTTGCCAACTTACGTCACCTGTGGCGAAGGCGAGATATCCATCTATCAATAAAAGGACGAGTATACTGCGCGGCAGTCCGTTCTGTTTTAATTTACGGCAGCGAAACGTGGCCATTAAGAGTAGAAGATACTCGTAAGCTACTAGTATTTGACCACAGATGCCTTAGAAATATTGCTGGCGTCTGCTTGGATCACCGGGTAAGTAATAGTGAGGTTAGACGCAGGGTATTAGGGAATGATGGTAAATCAGTTGATGAGGTTATGAATCTTCATCGACTGAGATGGTTGGGCCACGTGTTACGTATGCCTAAATACCGATTACCACGACGTGCAATGCTATCCGGTATTGGAAGTGGTTGGAAGAAAGTTAGGGGCGGCCAAACCAAAACGTGGCATCAGTGCTTGAAGTCATTAACTTCTAGTGTGAGCCATGTTGGTAGATGAAGACTACTTGGTTGGAGTCCGCGTGACTATCGTAACCAATGGTTGGAGACTCTTGGTGACATGGCTCAGAATCGATCACAATGGCGTCGGTGTATACACTCCCTGTCTTCCCTTAAACTAAGAGATTAAAATCACTTCATATCTTTCTTTCTACGAACCAATTCTTTCTTCTTGTACTATGTCCTTATATGCAACCTTTTTTATACATTACCACCACTGAATTAACTACTCCTATGAATCCAGTGCTCATCTTACTGTGCTAATGCGGTATGGGAACTTGGACCGATGCACATATGTGCCTGGTCCTACGTTGTAGCTGACTGAATTGATCCAGTCAGTCTAGAGCAGCAGTATCAGCTCAGACGAAGTAATGACCAGACCCCAAGAAGATCATTGAGAGGAAGACATTTCCCTCAACTTCTCTGGTTAAATTCAAGGCACAAGACTTATTATTGAGAGGGAAAGTTGATATTGTGAGTCAGTCAGAAGTAACCTACCGAGAAGGTCAATCGATGGCATTCAGAAGTGACCTGAGGGATATATATATATATATCATGCTCTTTAACCGGGTCAATGGATGTAAAGGATCCACCTAGGGGAGTTGGAACTCTGATTCCAAACCAATGGTGTACATGGGCTCCAGGATCCTAAGGAAAGAGATGGCGTATGAACATAATGTTGTTCACGGCTACCATAGAACTGCATCTCCTGACGTTGCTCCACTACCTTGTGTATTGGACCTCTAGATCAAAGGTTCGGAAAGTGACCACGTTAGTTAACGGCATTCAGTTCACGTATCTGGGCAGTACCACAGCCCACACACAAATCTAATGATAACAACTTTGTGAGGTGCATATATATAGTTTGGTGTTTGTTTGTACTCATCTTTATGTGTTTCAATAAATAAATATTTCGTGATTATTCACTGTTCAACTCTTGTTCATTTATTCTATTCATAATGTGTATGTTGAATTTAATTTTCTTACTATTAGCGACCATTCACCCATGAATCATTATTAATTGATCGGAAAGATTATCGTTTAACACGCGTTGAAAAGCGTATGGCTCGTCAACGTTATGAACAAGAGAAACGTTTAAGTTTAAGCTATCAACAAGCCCATTTATTTCAATTACAACAAATGCAAATTTTACAACAACAACAACTTTTAGCCGCTGGAATTAATCCTGCTTTGGTGGATTCATCTCGGTAAGTGGTAGTTATCTATTTTAAAAAAAATTGTTACTCGATTTAGTTGTTTTTATTTTTCTACATCGTGTTTGTGTTTGTTAAAACATTCTTATTTTCTTGTTTTCAGTACCCAGAGTATAAAGGAAAATATTTGGGTCGAGAATACATGAGTGCAATTATTGCGCTAATATTCTTTAGGTTTGGTCTTATATTGCATTCCATTGGTTAACTATGATAACATTTAAATTTTAATGAAATTAGACTGTAGATTGTTCAATTTCGCTTGACATCGTCTCTGATTCTCAGGATTAGACAACTCATATTTGTCTTTATAGTATATTGAAACTCCATAAATATCCCTTAGTGAACTCTTTAGAAGCGCAGAGAAATACAAGTTCTATTTAGTTATTTACTATATTTCAAAATTTTCTGAAAGATCAATTCCATTTTAAAGTCTTTGAATAAACTTGATTTACTTTACACAGGTTATTCATCAATTACAGCTTTAATTATATTTTCTTGCGCCTTTTCTCTGTTGTTCATATTAAACACTAACATCAACATGTCAGAAGGTTCTGGGCCTCAAGAAGCATCATCATAAAGAATGGATGTCTATAGGAAACCTGGACAAGATTCAAGAAAGGGAGAACAAGAAGACTGCAATTAACAACAGCCCAGCATAGCAGAGAAAGTTAAGGCACAAGTTGAATACACATTAACAAACGAGAGAGTGAAGAAGAGTATTAGAGCTGACAAGCAGAAATATGTGGAAGACCTAGCAACGACAGTGGAAAAGACTGTAAGACAATGAAATATTAGTCAACTATATGACACAACAAAGAAACCGATAGGGAAATACAGTGTACCAGAGAGACCAGTCAAGGAAAAAGAAGGCAAACCAATCACTGAGATTCAAGAGTAGATGGGTGTAAAACTTCGAGGAACTATTGAGTAGGCCAATTTCTTTAAATCTATCGGACGTCGATGCAACACCCACGGACCTTATAAATGTCACTTCATCAACGATCGAAGAAATCAAAATGACAATCAGACAAATAGAGAGTATAAAGTCAGCGAGGCCTGACAATATACCAGCTGAAGTTCTGAAGTCAGCCATAGAAGAAACTGCAAACATGCTCCATATTCTATTCAGGAAGATTCAGTACCGGTGGACTGGAAAGAAGGGTACTTCGTCAAGGTACCGAAGACGAGAGAGATCGCAGCAAGTGTGAGAACTGTAGATGCATCACACCACTATTTGCACCAGGAAAAGTTTTCAACAGCGTATTGCTGAATCGGATGAAAGATTCAGTAGACACCCAACTTCGAGATCAGCAGACTGGATTCCGTAAGGATCGGTCGTGTTCTGACCAAATCGTGATACTACAGACCATCGTTCAACAATCAATTGAATGGAACTCGTCACCATCCAATAACTTCCTTGACTATGAGAAAGCATTCGGCAGTGTGGATAAGAAGACACTATGGTGTGACTATCTGAGAAGATCGTCAACATTATCCGGAATTTATTTATTAATTTATTTGAACACATAAATATTGGTACAAGAGAGCGCCAATATATATGCGCCACACAAAACAATGGGAATTCGAAGAGAAGTAGAAAGAAAAAAAAAACTAAGGAACGCAAAAGAAAAAGAGAGTAATGACGAAGAGGTACAATCAGAAGAAATCTTTCAGGTAAAGGAGACACAACCACTTTTTATGAAGAAAGTAAAAGAAGGTTACAGCAGGATCGCCACTGGCTTCTATTCTGAGCCATATCTGATAACGTCTCTAGCCACTGTGTTGCACCATCTCTCGGACCCCAGCCAGGGAGTCGTGAAGGACCAACACAAGCCAGTCCTTTGCAGCTTTCTTTCATGCCACGACACCATGTCATGCACTGACCACCTCTCCGCTTCTTCCAACCAGTCCCAGAGTCGGCAAATAATGCACGACGTGGAATTCTCTGGGACGACATTCGGAGAACATGTCCAAGCCACCGAAGTCGGTGTTTCAAGATGGTGACACCAATTGAGTTATCATCTCTGTGCCCGAACACACGATGCCGAACCTCTGCATTACTGACATGGTGTTGCCACTGAATGTCAGCAATCCTTCGGAGACAGCGATGATCAAACACAGAGAGTCGTCTAACGTCCTCAACTCGGAGAGGCCAGGTTTCACAAGCATAGAGCAAAACTGCTCTCACCGACGCGTTGTAGATCCGGCCTTTTACAGCCAGACTGACATCACGAAGGCGCCAAAGGTGGCCCAGATTGGCATAAGCCGCTCTGGCTTTCACTATTCGTGCATTGATCTCATCACTCACACCCCCACCAGCACTTATGCAGCTACCCAGATACACGAACTTCTCAACTACGTCTATCTGCTCACCATCCAGGGTGAGTACAGGATTGGGATCCTGCCAGTCTTGTAGAAGTACTTTGCACTTCGAAGGTTCAAAGCACATACCATACCTACGGACATTGATTGCCAACTGATTAAGTGCGGATTGCATGGCTTGGGCATTATCGCACAGTAAGACAATATCGTCCGCATACTCGAGGTCGAGAAGTCTTTCTCCAGGCAACAGATCCACACCACCATTACTTACATTCATCAGAGCTGTTTCCAGAATGTCATCGATGGCAAAGTTGAAGAGGAATGGTGAGATTGGGCAACCCTGCCTAACCCCACTGCTCGAATGGAACAATGGAGAGAGGTGGTTGTATGCCCTCACTCTGCCTGAGGTGTTTTTATATAGGGCTTTTAGGATGTTAATAAACTTCTCAGGCACACCCTTCTTCAATAGACAATCCCAGAGAACAGTCCTATCCAACGAATCGAAGGCAGCCCTGATGTCAAGAAACACTACGATTGTTGGCCTTTGAAAAGTATGGCGGTGTTCTAACATTTGGCGGAGGGTGAAGATATGATCAATACATCCTCGACCAGAACGAAACCCAGCCTGCTCCTCGCGAGTCAATCTTTCTCGGGTTTTGAACAACCTACGAAGAATGACGGAAGCCAATAGCTTGGACGTAATCGGAAGTAAACTTATCCCCCGATAGTTGTTACAAGAACGACGTGAACCCTTTTTAAAGATAGGGACAACTATCGACTCATTCCATGACGTTGGTACACTCTCTAGATCCCAAACCTTTGTAAACAACGTCGTCAATTCCTTAGTCAAAAAGTCACCACCATCTTTAAAAAGAGCCGGAGGTAAGTCATCTGGGCCAGGTGATTTGTAACGCTTCAAGAGTTGGAGTTCCTTGTGGACTTCCTCCTCATTTGGTGGATCAGTCGTCACCGGCCATGGAGGGCAGGACAGTCTGACCGATGTTACCGGAGCAGCAGGCCAGTTGAACTGCCCTTCGAAAAATTCTGCCCATCGTCCAAGACGTCGATGGATGTTAGTGATTGGCATCCCATCATCCTCGCAGATTGTTTCACTCACACCAGACTTCTTGCTGCCAGTGGCTCGGATGAGTTGGAAGAGCTTCCGGTAGTTACCAGATGCAGCTGCTGCTTCCAGCTCATTAGCACGCATCGACCACCAGGCTTCTCGGTCCTTACGCAAGCTTTGCCCGATTTCCTTACGTAAAAACCTTCGTTTATGGTCAAACTCACGGTTACCCGGAGTAGACCGACGGGCTTCAATGAGTTGTAAGGAACCAGAAGAAACCCAGTGCTTAAAAGCGGGACGTTTCGCAAACCCACAACTGACTGTTCCCGCCATTTTCATGGCGTCATGCAATTGCAACCAATGCTCATCTATACTTTTCGGTGGAGTGGTAGCTAGCCTAGAGGCTAGCTCGGTTCGATACTTACTTGCAACAGAAGTTGCAACCAGCTTGCTAACATCAATCCGTTGATGGCGTTCACTTCGTTGTCCACTGAAAAGTAAGGCAAGATTGGCGCAGACCAAGGCATGGTCAGAGTCCAGATAGGTACTCCAAAAGGAGCGGCAGTCTTGTACACAACCACGCCAGCGGTAGCTGATCGCGATGTGATCAATCTGAGTCCAGGCTTGAGATGCAGAGGGAGGACGCCAGGTGGCACATCGGCGATGACTGTGCCGAAAGTTAGTGCTAGCCAGAAACAGGTTGTGGTCTGCGCAAAGTTGCAGTAGACGGTCCCCGTTATCTGACCTGCGACCAACGAGTCCCCATCGGCCACCTAAACGACTCTCTTCTGTGCCTAGACGCCCGACCTGAGCATTCAAGTCTCCGGCTAGTACTACAATATCTGTCGAACGCACTTTCTGGAGAAGAACTGATAACTGGTGGTAAAACTCATCCTTGATTGCATCCGGGCTGCAATCTGTCGGGGCATAGGCGGAGATGACGAAAAGGCATCGTTTCTCACGCCGATTTCTTCTCACTTTGATGGAACTTTCTAATCTAACAGCACATAACCGACTGTTAATGGGGATCCAATCGACTAGTGCTGCCTCAGCTCTAGCGCTTAGTGCGACACCAACGCCAGCAAAACCAGACGAAGATGCCACAGGGTCCCCGGATAAGCGCACGTAAAACAAGCTTTTCGAAGCGACAGATGGAGATCGAATTTGTAGTACTTCGCGAGAGTCTTGAATACGGGTCTCGGATAGACAACACACGTCGATATTAAGACTTTCCAAAGACATAGCCAGCCCTATCTGTTGTCCGACCTGCATAAATGTGCGAACGTTGAAGGCAGCCAGTTTGAATGATGCACGTGGTTTCAGAAAATCTGCTTCAGTCCTCGTATTCGGTGGTAACATACAATTTTCAACCGGACAGTGACTCGGGAACGTTTAGATACAGTCGGAATTCCACCAAAGACGAGCCGCTGTATAAGTATAAAAGAAGGTGAATAATGTGGAAAATAATAATAATAATGATAATAATAACAATAATGACAATAATAGTAGTAATAATAATATTAGTATTAATAATGACAATAATTGAAGTGATCATAATTTGAATCAATTGATTGTTTTTCAAAGCGACAAAAGTAGTTTCCATAGACATAAACAGTTCATCATTTGTGTGTGGGCTGTGATACTGCCCGGGTGCCCAAACCGAAGCAGGTGGTTATCTTAGGGGGCCACTCCCCGAGCCTTTGACCTAGAGGTCTAACCCACAAGGCAGTGGAGCATCGTAAGGAGATGCAGTCCCATGGTAGCCGGTGACCAACGATTGGTTCATACGCCATTCGTTCCCGCAGGATACTGGAGCCCATGTGCACCATTGGTTTGGAATCCGGTTAAAGCGCCGGACATTCGCTTCTCGTCCTCTCATTTTCGTAAACAACACCCCCGCCACGAGAAGGCAATGAGTAGGACTTCCCTGGCAGAGGCTATATACGCGTGGCCGTGTGAGAGTATTTCGAGAGGGAGAGCGGACTCTCCCCACTCTCGGCCGTACCAGGGCATTCAGGGGGGCAATATGTCATCGAACATTTTGCTTACATTTTGTGCTTGCCTATCGATGTAGGCACGTGACGGATGCTAGTGTCAGTGGTCGGGAAGTGTTTGTTGGTGTTGATCTAGTGTTGATGAGTGTTGTGTAGATTGGTGTGTGTATAGATGTGAAGACTTTCCCGCGCCGGGAATCGAACCCGGGCCGCTTGGGTGAAAGCCAGGAATCCTAACCACTAGACCACGCGGAATTCATACGACAGATTACACTGCAAAGTTGTGCATGGAGGACAGCTGACGGTCACATTTCATGTGAGGACTGGAGTCAGATAAGGCTGCTTACTCTCATTATTTCTCTTTTTCTCAGCGGTTAAATCGATTATGAAGGCCTCCACATCCCAGTGGAAGCACGGAATACTATGGACAGGTTGGATGCAAGTGGATGATGTGGACTTCGCAGATGACCTACCTCTTCTATTCCCTACACACCAAATGCAGCTGAAGACAGCCAGTGTAGCAGTTCTACTGTAAGGAGCTGATATTTGGGGAACTATCAAAACAATCATCAAAAAGGTACAAGTTTTTATAAACAATTGTCTACACAAAATACTCGATGGCCGTTGACCGGATACCATCAGCAACAACCTACTGTGCGAGAGAACAAACCAGGCTTCATCTGAAGAGGAAATCAGGAAAAGACAATGAAAGTGGATGGGACATACATTACGGAAATCAACAAACTGTATCACGAGGCAAGCGCTGACTTGTAATCTTGAATGGAAACTGAGAGGAGGAAGGTGAGAGAACACACTGCATGGGGAATCGGAAGCAGAGATGAAAAGAATGAACAGTAGCTGGAAGGGATTTTCCAGTACAGAGTTCGGTGGGAAATGCTGATGGGCGGTCTGTGTTCCTCCACGATGGATAACAAACGTAAGCAAATAGTCTGAGTTTATTGGAAGCGTTTAGGAAGTCTTTAAGAAACGTTCAAGCTAGAGATATAATATGTTAACATGTTTTTTTCAATTATTTTTAATTTTTATAGCTTCTACAATTCCCGAACTCCTAACATCCTCTCCCGAAGTACCATTAACTATCGACCAACTTATACAAGTGGAATGGCAGCTCTAGATGCGATGCGTCAGGTTGATCGACAAGCACGTCTACGAATGTTACAAAAAGACTTA